TGTAGAGAATGTTATCTATCTAAATCACTTTTCATTTGTGCTGAGTTCTTTATCTCCTATTTACTCTTTATATTATCTTTTATTTCTTTATGCTCTACTTGATTTGATGTCATATTACCCTGTCTTTTTAAAAAAAATGCCATTGGCAGGTTGGTGATGATGTCACTGTGCTTGATGCCACTGGAAAGTATGTCATGCCAGGTTAGTTTCGTACTACACCTATGTGATAGATTACTACAGCTTTTAACTATTTGGAGTCGGGAGAGTATATAATAAGGGATACAATGTGCAAGTCAGGAATAAAAGTTTTATGTTTAAAGCTCCCAATACTGTTTTCTGCACAGGCTTCACCTTTTGGGGTCTATCATGTTGTTTCAAGCTTTTCTTGTTATGTATACTGGTATTTGGTTTTCTATTCTTCATTATTAAATATCCCCTAATAGTGAAATTTGACTGTCATTCTTTAGGGCCAATCTGTGTTCTCTAAACTTTAATTTGTTTAACATTAACAGGAGGCATTGATCCTCATACCCACCTAGACATGGAGTTCATGGGTTCAGGAACCATTGATGATTTCTTCAGTGGTCAGGCTGCAGCGTTAGCTGGTGGAACAACAATGCACATCGACTTTGTTATACCAGTTAATGGAAGTTTATTGTCAGGATTAGAAGCTTATGAAAAAAAGTCTAAGAAGTCCTGCATGGATTATGGTTTCCATATGGCAATTACAAAATGGGATGAAGTTGTTTCAAAAGAAATGGAAATAATGGTCAATGAGAAAGGTTAGTCATATGTATTTCCAGGTTTTATTGAGTGAGCTTAATTGTTGGCCATGCTAAGCTTTATGAAATTTATTTGTATTTACAATTTGTGAACTTAATTCAGGTATAAACTCTTTCAAGTTTTTCATGGCATACAAGGGGTCTTTGATGATCAATGATGAGCTTCTGCTACAAGGATTCAAAAAGTGCAAGTCTCTTGGTGCGTTAGCTATGGTTCATGCAGAAAATGGAGATGCTGCATATGAAGGACAGAGAAGAATGATAGAACTTGGTATTACTGGTCCAGAGGGACATGCTCTTTCAAGGCCCCCAGCGGTAATTATAGAAATAGATTCATGGTGCAAACATAACTTGGATAAGATGAAAGTGTGGTTTTTTTTTTTCCTATTGTGCAAACATAACTTTGATATTAATTAGTAATTATTAAATGTGCATCATCTCCCTTCACATAGAGCATTTATTATGCAGTAATATTTAATGCTGTTATTAATCTTACAATTCAATAGTACTTTATATTCCATATCTACCTGGTATGAATATTTTATTTTAATTTATCAGTCCCTATTTTTATGGGCAAACTTTCTTCTGCAATCATGACATAGATATGGTAGCAATCCTAATTCTGGGTGAGGCTCTTGCTTCTTTCTTTGAAACTAAGAAGATGTTCTCGTTCTTACTATCTTGGAAAGACTAGTTAAAAACTTTCTTAGAGATGGAGGCATCCAGTTATGCTGTTTTCATGTTATCAGGTTGAACTTTCGTAAAAGAATTTGGTTTTGTGGCCTTTACTGTTTTAGAAAGACTACAACAAGAGGATATATGCTTTTAATCTGATCCCCTTTCCAGCAGAATGCAAAGTAATGATTGTCTAAAAATTGGTCCTTTCATAATGAATATGCAATTATTTAAGCACATATCTTTTTATGCTGATGTCATATTAATGGAAATTCATTTGTTATATTTGTTCTGTGGTTCTTTAAATTATCTAATAGTTATTTGCAAGTATGTTAATGAGCATATGATCAATGTCTGATTCAACTTAAATAACAATGCAGCTGGAAGGAGAAGCAACTGCTCGAGCAATTAAACTCGCAGGTTTCATGAACACTCCCCTCTATGTAGTTCACGTGATGAGCATTGATGCTATGGAAGAAATTTCTAAAGCTCGCAAATCAGGTTCTTTGTGTTTTACATTTCTTGCTCTGCTGGTAAATTTATTGGTCAGCAGGACTATGTTTTTTTCTTTTTTTGATTGGGGACTATCTTGTTATTGATAACTAGAATTTCTACTATTTCATTGGTTTGTTTGTTTAGTTACAATTTGTGTAAATAAGCAATAAACTCTCCTTTATTCTCAAAACTTTACATTAATTGCCTAAGTAAATAGCTTCGGCAGTTGGTCTTCGTATACAACAACTTCATTCTCTAACATTACCGTGTCATGTCGTAATCATGTTCAACCACCCTTTCCCAAAGTTCCATAATGTGATGTGGACTGACTCTGTATCACCTGTATTTTGTATCCTAAATCAATGACAAACAGGTACCAATTTCCAAAAATTTTGATTTGTTGAAGTGGCGTCATAAAGAATATGCTGCAAGAGTTTATGATACCCAGCCAGAGTGCATTTTAGCAACTGCAAAGAATTTCTTATCTAATTGTCTATTCTGATATGTGCCGTTTCATGGTAGCCTAGAGACCAAAAAGCTCAAATGAAGGCTAATAGAAAGAACACAATGAACAAACTGAAAAAAAAAAAAAAAAACCTATAGACAGACTTCCACAAATACATGTATTAATAAAGATAGATGAAGCTGATTAAGATGGCATATAAACTGTAGGCATATTTCCAGACACAGTATCCTGTTTCTTTTTTACCTATCATTTTGGGAAGGGTAAAAAAAATACTCTCTTAAACTGCAGGGCAGAAGGTTATTGGAGAACCAGTAGTTTCTGGGTTAGTGCTGAATGATTCTTGGCTTTGGGATCCTGACTTTATCACTGCTGCTAAGTAGGAGGCTGCACTCTTTGTTATATTCTTCTTTATCTGATTTTTCGATGTTCGATCAAATAGAGTTATGTTAAGCAAAGCTGTCTTCTGAAAATTCAGGTATGTCATGAGTCCCCCTATAAGGGCCGCAGGACATGGCAAAGCCCTTCAAGCTGCTCTTTCAATGGGAGCTCTGCAGGTGTCTCTCTTATTCAACCTTATATAAGAATTATCTGATTTGGTCGACATTGCTTCTTGGTACTGCAATGATTTATTTCATAGTGATGTAGGATATGGGTGAATTGACTATTTAGGTAGTTTAGCGGAAGCAAAAACAATGGAAAACAGAAAATAGAACAAAAGGGATAGGTCTGGAATCACTCCAGGGGTTTGGCTTCACACCAAGTAGTCTCCAATCTCTGGAAAATAAGCTTTTCTTTATATCTCAACAACTCAACTCCATAATGAATTACATAGACGAGGTATTTATAATGATCTAACCCTAGAGTGAAAAGGAAAATTAAACTTATTCTAGGAAAGAAATCCTAATCCAAATAAAATAGGAAACTTAGAAATCCTACTGAAACCTGGAAAACTAAAAATCCTAATGAAATCTGGAAAACTTAGAGAACCTAGGAACTAACAAATAAAATAGGAAACTAATTAATAATTCCCCCTTCCATCTCTTTCTCAATGTCTGATTCAACTTAAATAACAATGCAGCTGGAAGGAGAAGCAACTGCTCGAGCAATTAAACTCGCAGGTTTTGTGAACACTCCCCTCTATGTAGTTCACGTGATGAGCATTGATGCTATGGAAGAAATTTCTAAAGCTCGCAAATCAGGTTCTGTGTTTTACATTTCTTGCTCTGCTGGTAAATTTATTGGTCAGCAGGACTATGTTTTTTTCTTTTTTCGATTGGGGACTATCTTGTTATTGATAACTAGAATTTCTACTATTTCATTGGTTTGTTTATTTAGTTACAATTTGTGTAAATAAGCAATAAACTCTCCTTTTTTCTCAGGACTTTACATTAATTGCCTAAGTAAATAGCTTTGGCAGTTGATCTTGGTATACAACAAATTCATTCTCTAACATTACCGTGTCATGTCAGAATCATGTTCAACCACCCTTTCCCAAAGTTCCATAATGTGATGTGGACTGACTCTGTATCACCTGTATTTTGTATCCTAAATCAATGACAAACAGGTACCAATTTCCAAAAATTTTGATTTGTTGAAGTGGCGTCACAAAGAATATGCTGCAAGAGTTTATGATACCCAGCCAGAGTGCATTTTGGCAACTGCAAAGAATTTCTTATCTAATTGTCAATTCTGATATGTGCCGATTCATGGTAGCATAGAGACCAAAAAGCTCAAATGAAGGCTAATAGAAAGAAAACAATGAACAAACTGTAAAACAAACTTATAGACAGACTTCCACAGATACGTGTATTAATAATGATAGATGAAGCTGATTAAGATGGCATATAAACTCTAGACATTTTTCCAGACACAGTATCTTGTTTCTGTTTTACCTATCATTTTGGGAAGGGAAAAAAAATGACTCTCTTAAACTGCAGGGCAGAAGGTTATTGGAGAACCAGTAGTTTCTGGGTTAGTGCTGAATGATTCTTGGCTTTGGGATCCTGACTTTATCACTGCTGCTAAGTAGGAGGCTGCACTCTTTGTTATATTCTTCTTTATCTGATTTTTCGATGTTCGATCAAATAGAGTTATGTTAAGCAAAGCCGTCTTCTGAAAATTCAGGTATGTCATGAGTCCCCCGATAAGGGCCGCAGGACATGGCAAAGCCCTTCAAGCTGCTCTTTCAATGGGAACTCTGCAGGTGTCTCTCTTATTCAACCTTATTTAAGAATTATATAAGAATGATCTGATTTGGTCCATATTGCTTCTTGTTACTGCAATGATTTATTTCTTAGCTTTGAAAGGATGGGGAGAACTAGTAAGGAGTTATTGTAAATGATGAGACAAGTTTATGGTTGTCCAGTTTTGGTTGTCCATTGACATTGTATTCAGAACCAGACTTTGATCAAACATGACAGGATATATACTATTCAGCTGCCTAAACTTTTGTTTTTTGTGTGTGTGGATAATTTAGCTACCTGAACTTAATGGTGAACGTATTTGTTATAAGAAAGTATAGATTGACCTAGATTTTGCAATGTGCAGCTTGTAGGAACCGATCATTGTACCTTCAACTCAACACAGAAAGCTCTTGGAATTGATGATTTCCTGAAAATTCCAAATGGTGTCAATGGTAGTCACAGAATTGGTCTTTGATATTGTTCAACTAAGATATATGCTCTGTTTTCTATGCCAATTTCAGTTTCTAATACTTAACATGGCAACTGGAAATTAGGTATTGAGGAGAGGATGCATCTTGTATGGGATACAATGGTGGTAAGCTGCCATAAAATTCCTGCTCATCCCTAAATAATCAGCTTAAATTAGAATCAATGTTTTGGATAATCTTTTATTATTTTTAATTTCTGTGCGTACTTTCAGGAATCTGGTCAAATTTCTGTTACTGACTATGTCCGGGTGACAAGTACTGAATGGTATTCTTGCAGCTAATTGTGTTTACTATAAATTCCCATTATGCTGCCTAAAGTACGTTAAAATGATTTCAACATCCACAAAATTTTCAGTGCTAGGATTTTCAATATATATCCGAGGAAGGGAGCAATTCGTGCTGGTTCTGATGCAGATATAATTATACTCAATCCGAACTCAAGCTTTGACATAAGTGCAAAGTCCCACCACTCTAGATCTGATACCAATGTCTACGAGGGATGGAGAGGGAAGGTAATATTTGTCACACAAAGGATTTTATTTTTCCATAAGATAGTATGTTATTACTTTAGAATTAGGAAGCTACTGCTCCCTCTTTGGGGAGACCTTGGTGGCTATGATCTACTGACATGGATACGTGTGTCAAGTGTTGACTTGGATATGTGGTATCTGATCTGAGAAAAAAACAAAAATGAGATGAGGTGTCTGAAATGACATATATTATATGTGTGTGTATTATATGCATTCCCAGATAATGGATACTATTAAATGTAATTTGAAACAAATTGTTTGATGTCAAACCCATATGTGATACAACGAATTTGATATTGAACTGATTCTGTATCTAGCAGCCTAAATGGCCTTTAAAATTAGAATTGGTCATTTTGGAATTAGTTTTATCTGGGATTGTGGATTTTAATTTAGTACTTCCTTTTAGTAGCTAAAAAACTATTTTTTAACATAAGTTCTCCTTCATTAAAAAGATTCATGTAGGTAGATTAGAAAAGAGCATTATTAAAATTTTGAAGTCCCATAAAGGAATAATGTTGGGTCAAAATAAGTGAAACAATTGCTGTAGGAGTTTGACATCTCGTATAAAATTCCTGCAATCATGACAATTGACTAGACTAAGTAGCACTAAAGCGCAATTATAGCTTTCAAAATCTACATAGTAATCATAATATATTGAAGAAAATTATCTCTTTAGATAATAGTTAATATGTCAAAGTTCAAATCCCTCTTTTATTTATTTATTATTTATGTTTGAATAATGAAATGTATATGTGGATTTTATTAACATATTGAATTAATATAATTTTTCTTTTTCTAAAGTTAAATTAAACAATTTACACTAAAAGCTCCGATCCAATTCACTCCTTTCAGATTTACATTACACCTAAGCTGCTTGACTTGGTAGTTAGTATAGTTAGGCTGTTCTTAGCCAAAATTTAGAAAGCCTCATATTCATCAAAATAAGAAGAGAACACAATGTTAATTTCAAGAATTGGCTGGTTAATTTATGCAAAGCAGCGCGCGTTTATTCTGTTTATATTTCTAATTTTCAGTCAATATGAGGGATATAAGAATTATCGGTGGCATTAATGCACTTTTATTTTACATTTTAATGCATTATATGATTGGACATGACCATGACATCCTACTTTTCTTTTTGTCTTCTATTTTATTCTATCACTGCAAATACCAACCACTCCAAAAAGATATTGAATATTAAGAACGCTGGTCTACTCAAATGCAACATTTTGATGTAGCAGGAATAGACACTTCCTAAGTTTTTTCCAATTCGACTAGAATTTTGTTATTTTCTTTTTAAGAAATTCTATGTTTCCTTTAGCCTAAGGATTTTTCGCTTATTTATACCCCTTTTTCTCAAAAAAGGATGTTTAGCGTATTTAAATGGTGTTCTGAAGATAGATTTGGTTGCTCTATAGAATTTGGTTCTTTTCTGCTACCATTATTCTTGGTATTTTGTTGGTTAATCAACAAGGTTGGTACCATAGTTTTGGCCTCACTTTATTCCTTGAGGAAGTCCAAAAGGGGAGAGCCCATTATCTTCCATATATAATGGCCATCCTCACCCTCTCATCGGAATCTCATCGGAACTCTCTTCGATTCACTCTCTCAAAAGGCCCCCTCATGCCTCAATGTAAATATAACACTCATTACATAGTGAAAACCGACGTGGATGTAGTACGAATTCGGTGAGCCATGATAAATCTCGTGTGTTCTTGGTGTGATTATGTGATTCACGGTTTTTTAAGTTCTATTCATAGTATTTTCATGGGAAAATCAACAGGTTCCAAGGAAGATTGTGGATTTTTATTTCTTTTTTATTGTAGTTATATGCTTCCCTATATCATCCTTCTAATTCTTTGCCCCCGTGTGTGGTATTTTCCCCTCAAACTTCTCTCCAGTTTGTACATATACAACAAAATATACTTTGCATTCATAAAGTTTCATTCTTATACGTGTGTGTGTGGATTGTGCTTGTACAAAGCCTGTGTAATACTGTGCATGCATTCATGTGGCATTTTTATGGCATGCCAGACATTAAAAGTTCATATTACATTTTTTCTGGGAAAGGTTGAAGGACAATGTTCTATTTTCGCAGGGAAAGGTTGAAGTGACCATTTCTGGTGGAAGGGTCGTTTGGTTAAATGATGAGTTGAAGGTTTTTCCTGGTTCTGGCAAGTACGTAGAAATGCGACCTTTCAGTTATCTTTTCAATGGAATTGGCAAGGCAGATGAAAGGTATCTATCTTCTCTTAAAGCCCCTGTAAAGCGTTTTAGAGCCACCACTTAAAAAGCTCAGGTACTTTCCTTTTCGACTATTATTATTTAAACTTGAGGTGTAAATGGACATGATGCTCCTGTATATATGGCAATGGTTTGAATAATAAGATCAAGTTTTTTTTTTTTTTTTTTTGGTACCATGTATGTGAATTCACTTTAAAGTCAATAAATAATATTCTCGTTGCAGTTTGCGGTTGGCAATTTATTTGAACGGATAAGTTTATATTACCCAACTTCACTTGTGTCATAACTTTGTTAATGATATAGGCTGTTGACGATGTGTAACATTTGTTTAATGTAAGTGTTGGATTGTCTTAATTGAAGGCTCATTTCATTTGAGGCTGGTTCGTTGTAGAGCATAATGCTAGGAGAAGTGATTTGTTGGTTTTCTAATACAAACATGTATGTATTGACCAGGAACACAATACCACGATCTTCTTATTCTTCTGACTTCTATTTCCAACTTGATTTCATGGCATTGTGCTTCTATTACCCAATGCAGCTGCCCATCACGCCACCTTTCTCAGTCTCTCTTTACAGCCATCGCTTACCACCACCGTTCTCTCTCCCTCTGATTCGACACTGGTTTCCATTTTCTTTAAAGTGCTTTCTTCCTAAAATCACTGGTTCTGAGAGAAGCACGAAATGTAAGCTCGCATTTCTTAGCATTGTTTCATAATATGGAGTTTAACCAACAGCCCCATCATTAGCCTACTGCATCTTTCCCATTTTTTTGATCCATCAAGCTTTTGCATTGCCATCATCGGTATTCTTTCATGTCCAAAAGGAAAAGGGATGTCTGGGAGCTATTTCCTGGATTCGAAAGAGAGTACTTGGGTTCTTCCAATAACTGAACAGTATATCATGACTGAATCTAACTGGGGTTTGTGGTGGTGGAGGAATTGGATGGGAAGAGTTCTTGATCCCGAATTTGAAATGACTGAATCTAACTGGGGTTTGTGGTGGTGGAGGAATTGGATGGGAAGAGTTCTTGATCCCGAATTTGAAATACATTAGATGATGATGAGCGTTGGGCCTCGCCAAGTTCAATCGATAATTGCTACTGGAGTCTTTAACGTGAAAATACATGTATGATATGCAAATTCAAAAATTTGTAAACAAATGTGTGCATTAAACTTGGAGAATGTGTACGTACGTGTATATATGTATGACGTTTGATTATAAAAAAAAAAAAGAAAGTATTTTATGTAACAACGTTATACACAATTTTTTAAATACAAGTGATAGTCTAAACTACAAAGGAACGGGGGTTTCTTACATATACACTGCAAGGGTGCTATGGAAATTCAAACCTGAGACCACTGGTCTACAAGTAAAGGGCTTTTCCCACTAGCTAGATATTATACACAAATAACACACAAAGTGCCCAGTATATGACTTGAAGGAATCCACAATTTTTTTTTTTTGGTTGAGAAAAAGAAACCAAAAATAGAATGTCGAAAATTTATTTTGAAAATGAAATTATGACGGGTGTTAGATATCCTGAACTTTTTTTTTTTTGCGGAACACAACTGAAAAGCACAAAGAAACGAAAAGGACAGTGGGCAGCTCCTCGTGGGATCACGAACCTCTACATTTAGCATTGGTACATTTGTGTGCATTTACTAAAATCTTTACCATTTGATTAATCTAATGAGGTAAATTAATCCACATCAGCATAGTTATATTATCTTAAAAAAATCACATGTTGTATGGTATCACCTCTTTCACAACCTCTCTCTCTCATGTCTCCCTCTTCCCGAACTCCTAGATTCCCATGGCTGCCATCGCTCAATGGTCCAGCCCTAATGATAAAGTTGTATTTAATTTTCTTTATCACTGTTAATTTCTCTTGCTATAGAATAATCAATACTTGGGGTATAACTATACTTGCGTTTTGAACAAGTTAGTTCAGCGTTGATAAAAGGTAATTCCCACAACAAATTCAATTCCACGCACTTTCCAATTTCTCCTCAACTTCCATAGAGACCATGTTCAATATAAAGATTAGAAGAACAATATTAATAATTATTTATTAATTAATCTTGAATCTACATGTATGTATCAAGTCCAATATTATGTATGTATAATCCATTATTGATGCTTACCAATTCTCTTACCTTTTTTAAATTTGATTTCTTCGAATTGTTGATTGGTTTTGCTTTTATTAGCCTTATAATTCATTAGGTATGTGGTTTTGTTTCTTATTTGCATCTGGGACTCAGATAAGAAGGGGTTGGGATTAGACCACTGGAGAGATGACAATCATGGAAATAAGAGTCTGGGAAAAGGGTTTCGCATAAGAGACGTGGGGTGGGGAGGGTGTGAAAGGGGAAGGGGAAGATTGCTCTTATTAAAGATGGGGAAGGGTAATTGATACGGTACAATATGTGATTTTTAAGATAATATAACTATGCTGATGTGGATTAATTAACCTTGTTAGATTAATCAAATAGTAAAGATTTTAGTAAATGCACACAAATGCACTGATACTAAATGTAGAGGCTCGAAATTCCTCCTTGTGCACCCACTTGACACTCAAAAATCATAGAATCAAATCTAACAAAAAAAAGAAGGGCATGTGATGATAACATCTCTCCCTTATGAGAATCTAGGTGTGAACCATATCCGTGGTTTGGATTCAAGTTAGGCCCACCCCCTTGTTCACTTTCAATGCACCGATACTAAATGTAGAGGCTTGAAATTCCTCCTTGTGCACCCACTTGACACTCAAAAATCATAGAATCAAATCTAACAAAAAAAGAAGGGCATGTGATGATAACATCTCTCCCTTATGAGAATCTAGGTGTGAACCATATCCGTGGTTTGGATTCAAGTTAGGCCCACCCCCTTGTTCACTTTCGCAGCGTCTACTCCTTTATCCTCCCTTTTAGTTTTAAAATAGAAAAATAAAGAAAGACCTAATTCATTTGTCTAAAACGCTGCTATGAGTTATGTTAGTTGGCTAAGGCGGTGTGCTCGTCCTTTTGCACTCGAGTTCGATCACTTTTTGTACAGTACAAATGAATTTGTCTTTAAGCTCTTCATCAATTCATCCAAATTAGGCCTTAACATGCTTGAATTGCATGAATTATGTTCTCCAAAGCCATCATTGTTACCTAAAGCTCAATTAACTGAAAGATAAACACAAAAAGGATTAAAAGCACAAGTTTAACTCAAAAACATAACCAAATCATAAGCTAGAAGGGTAAGAAATAATATACAATTATGAACCGATCAGGCCTCCCAACTAAGATTGCAAACTCAGAATAATAAAAAAGAGATAAAGCTTGAAAAAACCAAGCCATAACAATATAAATAAAACTCTCACAAATGAGAGATGAAAAGCTCTCACAAAACGAGAGGTGAAAAGCTCTCACAAAAGGAAAGGTGAATACTATATAGAGAATCCAAAGAGTCTCTGTGACTTATTCCGAATATAAAGAAACCGCAAAAATGATGGTGGTGGAGATCCAATGCCGAAACGCAGGTGGAGATCCGACGCCGAGACGCAGCCGCCTATGATGGTTGGAGGAAAATCATAGCAAAACGAAGACAAATAGGGAAAACCTTTTATCTCTGAAAATGAAGGGAGATGAGAGGGAGGAAGAGAGGAGGGGAGAGGGGAGGAAGAATAGTGGCTTCCTCCCCCCTCAAAGTGAAAACGGCTCTAGGATTGTTTTTTTTGGGAGAGAGGGGGCTAGGGTATGAAAATAGATAGGAAAAAAAATAATAATTCCAAATAGGTTAGAATTTAGAATTTACCAGAGAGCAATGAGAATAGGGGTTCAAACTAGGAGTGGGCACAGTCTGGTTAGATTCGGTTTCCACCTTAAACTAGAATCAGAACCTGTACTATTTGACCGATCCAATTTGGTCCAATTTTAGTAAAAAAATTACCAATCAATTCGGTTTGAACCGATTTCGGTTCGATTTTTTATTTTTTCAAATTTGGACCAGATTATTATTATTATTCTTTCAAATTATTTTTTTTATACAAATTCCAACTAAAATTTTATTTTTTGGACTTGAAAATTAGCAAATGATCCAATTACATACAAAGAGAGATATTTTGAAGTTGGACTTGGGGAAATATTAGTCATGAGATTAAAAATGCAGAATTTGATTTAAATAATTTTATAAAAAAAATAAAAATAATACACAACCGATCTGGTCTGGTTTGGAAAGGTGTGAAATCGAAACTAGAACTGGTTAGAATTGATCCGATCTGGTTCGGTGTTGATTTGTTGACTTTTTTAGTCAACTGAATTTTTTTTTCCAGTTTTTTCCATTCAGTCCAACTCGATGTTCCGATTTTTCAGTCCGATGCCCACCCATAGTTCAAACAATAAAACAAATAGTCTTTTCAATTTGGGCTCATAAAATTTTAAAATTTTATATTGTGGCATCTAATGCTTACGGGTGTCAAAATGTGCTTTGCTTTTAGATGCTACATCTACGTCATGCCTACCTCTATACTTAAGTTCCATTTATGAAGGAAAAAAGCTAAAAGAAAAAACACGAATAGCAATCTTCTACCAAGTAGCTATTGGTTCAGTGCTGCTTATCTCTTGAGATGTTAAAAGAGATCTTAAATTCGATTTCCACACTACTCTCATGCCTATTATATATATATGTATATACATTAGTAAAATGGTTCTTGATAATGTGGTTAGGTGTCAATAAAGCATGTTAAGTATACTAGCCTTGTCAACTCACCGTGAAGAATGTTAAATTAGGATTGGAGGAATTGGAGGAGTCACAACGTGTCTTATAAGACATTCTTCCTTATCCACAAGACTATATATATATATATATATATTACTTGAATAGTAAGTACATAAACCGCCAGTATACTATCCAATAGGAAATGAGTTGTAGCCGACCTATTCTTTGTATATATATAAGTCAAGGTAGGGGGAAAGAGAGAAAGAGAGGTAGAGAGAAGTAGAGAGAAGTAGAATTGTTAAGAAAAAGAGTGGGAGACTGAGTTTGTGAATGTGGTGGAAAATTGGGAAACACCTTACATTTCTAGCAAAAGCTTTGGAGTCAAGGTAGGGGGATTCTTAGGGGGCCTTTTACGGGAACTAATTTAATTAAATTTTGTGAGCACTATATTATTCGTGATATTATAATTTGATGGATGTTCTTGATGTTGGGTGTTTATGTAACATCCCGGCCCAAATTTAAGTATTCATTTAATTA